AATTTGCGATGAGATATATGCACAACACACCCAAGGTATACTGTGTGGTGCAAGCACAACTGCAGCCCACACAAATGAAACATAAGACATACATTTTGTTTTTCTTTTTAAAATGCACAATGTTTGTTTCTAAGTTTAAGTAATAAAATTACTCTGCAAAAATTTTTCACATTTTTTGTGTGTGTTAGTGGCCCGCCCTCACGACAACACAAATTTGACCCATAGAGCCCTCCGGGGACCTTCTATTTGACACGCCCGGTGTAAAGGTTGGGAATTTAAAATCAGATCAAATTTCTCACCTTTGCTGTGGCCAACATTACCACTAGATTCTTTTTCTTTTTCAACATTTGCCCTTAAAAGGGTCACTGACATTTATGTTCAGTGTGGTGGGCATGTTATGTTGTGGTTTACAACTAGGCTGCGATATCTGCACCTTGTAGCCTAACACATCTGATTTCAGCAAACACTTAATTAGTTACCTTTGACAGCATTTTTTATTTTTTCATTTTGTTTTGGGGCTTGCTTGTGATGTCAGGTGAAGTTCATTGCTGCAAATAACCATTTAAAAACCTACTTTCCAAAACTCTTTAAGCTGCCACAAAAACACATGAAAGGCTAATTGTCCAGGAAGTGGACTGTGTATTATCTACTACCATGCCTAGAAAATTGGAACAGTTATCAATATAAAGAACATGCAACGAAGAATGATCCTTTAATGAACAATGTCTAATACCAGTAAAAATTGTATCACAGAAATGCTCAGTTCATCCTGAAGCAAAAAACTATTTCTTATTGTACAACTCACCCCAGACTCAATCAAGCTGTTGAAAGCTGCAAACAAACTGTCAAAGTACTCTATGTTGATCAGATGAGCAAATCTGGAAAATATGATTTGCAAACCGATTTACCACTTGTCTGCATAATGTTTAAAGCTGTGATGTGAATGAGAGAGAATGACAGAGGGAGAGATAAAGAGTGGAAGAGAGAGAGGAATGTGTCATAAGTGCACTGTATGTGCATGCATGTTTTTTTTTGGGTCTAGTTGGGACAACTAAGCACATATACAAGTCTTTGTCTTACTGTAATAGACAATCTATGATGAGTTCCAGTGCCCTTTTTTTTTTAATTCTACCAAACAAAACAAAAAAAACCATGATCATCATCAACATTTAGCAACTAACCTGGTAGAAACTTGACACATGATCTATAGCTTTACAGTTGTAAAATGTAAATAAAAACACAATTATTGGCTTGACTCACAAGTTAAGGAAAGTCTTCCCCAATTAGAACATGGGATTTTAGGACTCAGACGCTCAGCTTTCAGCCTATGTGCTATCCTCTTTTCCTTTACTCCCATTGCCTACCCAAGCAACATGATCCATGACATACATATCCCCAGAACAGCAAGAATTGGTATTTGTGACACCTAAACCAAAAACAAATCTTACTTAGCTAGTCCTTCAAGAACAGCAGGCAACAGTGTGGAGTCAGCAGCCAGCTTGATAACCCTGATGTAGGTCTCAAACACTGCTTGGATTATTTCTGTATGCTGATAGCAATAATAAAACATATCATCAACTTGTAATGCATGATCATACCACAATTGTAAAACAGTGTACAGGACACAACTTCTTAGCATTCACCAGGTATACAACTCCAGAGGAAAGTCTAATTGTTCATTCGCTTCTGGACCTTTGTCCTGTTCCAGAACTTGAATTTTGCGAACACATCCATTTCACAGATCTGGCTTATTTGTAAGAAGACTGCTGGTTCCTTGCCTCTCAAGCAGATGCACTATGACTTCGCAGGAAACACCCCAAATTAGTTTTGCCTTTTGCAACATACTTGTTGGAGGCAGTGGTTCTAAGTTTCTCCCCCCAAAATAGGGCACAGAAACTCACATGGGAACGGACACAATTGACTCAATATATTTTCTGTCATAGACTTATTTCATTTCTTTGGCAACGTATGTGTTACAGTAACATTTTTGCACTGAAGAGGCTTTGAAAAAGTAGTAAGTTCTTCAAGTAAGTCGATTAGTTAATAAATTACACTGAAGCGGCAGAGATGTGGTTTTACAGATGAATCATGAAAACGCAATAGATAGATATTAACAGTAATGTTAGATGTCTTGAAAAAAATTAATATTACTGAGGGGAAATAATTACAAATTTTCAGAAGAAAAAATACAACAGTAAATTGTCTAGTCTGATCTAAGAGTTAAATTAAGTGAGATGAAACTAAAATAGCAACTGACTACATGAGTTTCTAGCATCATTCATATATAACCAAAATTAAAAAAAATTTCAACAGCAGTCTTGAGTGAATACACATGGCAATAGTTACAATACCTTTTTCTGGACCTGCTCGAATAAGCAAACTAAGACTTCAAACAAGATTAGTAGTAGTAGTAGATTTTTACCCCACTAGAACATCACACAAGCTATAAACACCCGATGACACAAAGTGCCACCACGTGGATGAGGATCACTGTGGAGGTCCCAGAAACCGCATTCAGCCATTAGACCATATTTATGGTGGGGCTATATTGCGGCCCCTGGCAAGAGCCAGGGTGAGGCTTCAAATAACAAAAAATTGCATCTCACAAGGGGATGACTGGATAAACGTGTCAAACAAGATTAGCTATATCATCTTATATTGACAAAATGTTCCATAACCCCTACGGTAATGTCAGAATCATACCAAAAATACTGAAATGTATCAAGTCAAACTGCAGTGCTTGCATCACATGCATTAAGTGTGAAAATATGAAAAATGGCTACCTGATACTGTAATAATTTAATCTTCCAACATAAACCCTAACTCTGCCCTACAATTATATAACACTATTATCATAAAACATTTACAAGAACTAGCTAACCTACCAGTTTAAGTTTCTGCCGTCTGTCTGCTGTGGCTTTGGTTTCCAACAACTCCTTATCTAGTTGCTCTTTCTGCTTCAACCGCTGCAGGAAAGAGAAGAAATATAATACTTTCAGACATGCAAGAATACAGTCATAATCTCCTTGCTGGATGATCATTAAAGAACATCTGTTTCTAGCTTTACTCCCCTCCCACAAACATTACACTTAATCTGGTTTCAGTGCAAGCAAAGACCAAAGTAACTGCATAGGGAATCTACTTCTTCGGGTGTCAGGTCTGAAGCAGACACCAGGAACCACGAATCACTAACCATGTTATCTTATTTTTTCCTTCTTTAGCATTCCAAATCTTTGAGGTTCATTGCTGCATTTAGTACCTGCCTCCATGATTGGCCTTCTCTTTCCAGGCAATAAATTGTGTGTGTTTTCATTACTAAAATTCATGAAAAAAATTAATGTTTTCAAACATCCTTGTTGCCTTGCTCTGTTTGCTTATAATAGTTTCCTTCCGATGTGTTGAGAATAAAAACATGAGATTAATTCAACAATTGAAAATAATCATTTTAAAATTAATTCAACAAATTATGATAGGCTTACCTTGCGTTCTCTGCGAGATAATTTCAGCATCTTTTCTTTTCGCTTCATCTTTTCCAATCTAACAGCATTGCCAGAGAGATCCACTTCCTTGATGTTCAGCACAAGAAAGGTATCTAAAACCTGTCATTTACACCCATAAACATGTATTAGTTCATGCATATCATTTAAGTATACATCGGACAGAAAAATAAATGATGCATATACTAATAAGATATATTATGAGATCAATAGAGTCAAGATTAATTTTTTTTAGACATCTTATGATGTAAACCAAACCACATCACAAACGATGAAGTTCGCTGTATCATCACACAACACAGTGGTAACTATGAGCCTTTTTAATAACACTAAAAAGATGGAAAATGCAATGGCATGGACACATAAGATTCAACGACCTCTCAAAAATTATACTACAGGGTTCCGAAGAGGGAAAAGGAAAAAGAGGCAGACCATGAAAGATCTGGATACAGAATCTGGCTGACTGGGGTAGGTCTCATATATGCAAACATCAAATCCATTGCATCTGACAGGGGTGGAGGGAGCTGATCAGATGGTCAACAGCAATTGGTAAACTAACTTAAGGTTTTAAAGGATTATGAAGATGATGATGAAAATAGGCAAACTCAATGGAGGAAAGCAGTGGATTTATTTTTCAGTATTTCTTGAACTCGCAGCGTCCGTGGCTAAGGCATTGCGTGTTCGACCAGTAATTCCAACGTACCACGATCGAAACCCACTAGTGGCTGCGTTAATTTTTATCGTGGTATGGGAACTGGCAGATCGACCCAGCCTAAAATGGGTACCAGGATGTGTGTCCTGGGGAAGTAAAGATGGTCGGCGTAATACTGACCACATTACCTACCTAGTGCCAATTGGTCTGTAAAAATATAGGTGCTCTTCCCATATGCCCGATGCGCCTACGGCGTGAAAAGGGATCTTTACTTTACTTATTTCTTGAACTCACTTCTGGTAATATGTGAGCTGGCAAATTTAATGGGAGAAAGGGGCAGATTTATTTCAGTATTTCTTAAACTCTCCTCTGGCAATCTGTGGGCCACAGTAATGCAGTGGCTAGATGCATCCAGATTTAATAAAAGGTCTTGGCTTCAAATCCGTAACAAGACGCTTTTGTTTTCACAGCCTATCTACCAGGTCGAACCAGTCAAAAATGGGTACGGCAAAAGATAAAGGCGGTCGCCATAATACTGATCACAGTATCCATCGGGTACTGTTAAGTGTAAAAAAATATGTCTGCCATTATATGCCTCATCACCACAGGCATGATAATTGTGAAAATACATCAATAAATCTGAGTGCTGATATGTGATACTTTCCACCAATTTGAATATTATTCAAACAACAAGCAAGTGGCATTCTTCCTGAAATTCTTGTATTAATACACAAAGGGTAACAGAATATATAGAAAGGAGAAATGCAGACAAGGCAAAGAAATAAATAAAGGTATAAAAATGATACTTTAGGACACTGATCGAAAGAAAAACAATACAGAAATATGTGTACCTCACGTCTGACATCAAACTTCCTCTTCTTTGCCATCCTGCCAATATCCCTGACAATCTGCAACAGAAATGTGGCCAAGTAATGTTTATATTTATGCAAGCTTTTGTTTATCCTTGGACACACAAAAAAGGAAACAAACTACTGTTGTTTTTTTAAACTACAAAGTTATTAACTCAACAAAAAAAAAAACAATTCAGTCTACAATTTACTAACCAAAATAATTCACTATTATTTTTCAGTACATTCATTCTGATGTTTAAACAGGCCAAAAAATACACAAATTTAAAATACCTTACAGAAGTGCATAAATACAATATTGCTTTTGTGTGTCTCTCTGTCTCTGCTGCCAGACTTATTAACTAACCAGATTAACTAACCAGGTTTCACTTATTTATTTAACTCTCTCTCTCTCTCTGGCGCAGATAATTATTTTTGAATCCCATGCTCAAGCTGTTTGCTTCACGGCCTGCAGACCGTGGGTTCATTCAGACTTTCGTTCATGACAGCATTTTTTTCTTTTTCTTAAGACTGGTCATCATCGGAGCTACAAAGTTTACGACCTTGAGAGACCAAGCCAGACAAGACAAAACCCAGTGCAGGTCTCCATTTCACCTTTATTCACCGTGCTTTATTGACATTTTAAACTTATCATTACATTGATACACCACTGCCTGCCAGGAAACTTCATTGGAAGACTGAGGGAATGAGGACCATTGGCACTTGCTGACACCAGTTAATGTATCTGTCTTTTATTTTAACCACTCAAATAAAGAAAAGAAAAAACTTTCCAGAGATCATTACTTATGCCTCTAGAGATGAAAAGACAGTACACAACTTATTTTTCTACCTAACTACACATTATAAAACCTATTACCATACACACAGTAACTTAAAACAGCCTGAAAGGGGGGGGGGGGAGGGGTGTCCTCATGACCTCAATGGATTTAAAGGCAAATCGGATGTCACATTTTTCTGTATGTCTCAGTTATAGAGTGGCTATACAAATAAAATGTAGTACTTTGGCAGGGAACTAAACAAGTTCTAGTGGACCAAGAGGTTAAGAAAAGACGATGACATTAGACAGGACACACACTGAAAAAACCTGAGAACAATATAACTACAGTATCTTTGCACTGGAGCCCACAGAAGCATAGAAATACATAAAAACCTCCCCCCCCCCAAAAAAAAAAAACCATACACACATACATGGAGATGGGAGCTAGAGAGAAGTTAAAAAGATGGGAAGGACATGGGGAAAAGCAGCAAGCGATAGTGAAGGATAGAATGACTTGGCGTGAGTTGGTTGAGGGTGTATGCTCTACTGGGGGTCATAAGGCAGAAGAAGAAGAATATCACAGCAGAAAGCCAATCATCACGGTGGTTAGTGTGTTTGCCTGTCGACCCAGTGATCATACATTCACATTACTCTAAAGATCGGAGTAATTTCTTTGTTTTTGGGCCACCAGTCAACCCACTCTAATATATTCTGGGAAGTGAATGTGGTCAATACAATAATAACCATATAGCATTAACTGCTAACTGGTCTATAAAAACATGAGGCTAACTCATCCACTTAATACTAACTGAACTATAAAAATATAACCCTCTTCATCCAGTACTCATTAAGACATGGAAACGGATGCTGTACAGTTGTTGCTAACCTCCAGTATGATGTCTCCTGTCTTGTCTGCCTTGAATACCCTCTTGACTGCATCACAAGCAATTTCTGAAAACTAAAACAACAATATACCTCTCAGTAGTAATCTTGACCAAGTTATTATGCATGGGAATTTATTCACATCACACTCATCTGTATACCAGAAATACCTTCTCTGTACAAGAATTTCTACCCAAGTATCTGCATATTTTATCATGTCTATTCTTTTCTTCTACGCTCAGGCCAGGTTGTCTTATGCTATTGCATGCAGCTCATTCCATGTCTTCCCCATCTTTTCATAGTCACTTTTTAGCTCCCTTGTCCATGTGTGTTGCGTTTTTGGGCCTGTCCCTATTCCTGTGGTTTTGAGGGAAAAGACATTCTAGTTATGATATTCTCAGGTTTTCTCAACGTGCGTTCTATTTAACACCAGCATGTGTCTAATGTATTACATAATTTTAAAATGATCCCTCGATCCACCATCAATCATACCAATATACGTCGCACAAGGCTCGCATTTTATTCCTGCATTCCGTTCTATCCTCTACAATCACTTTGATATCATAAATGGAATCCAGTACAGCACCTTCCGCCTCTGTCATCAATGTTTGTTTAGGGTTTCACCTGGAAATCCTTTCACCCTCAATCCATCTGTTTCCCATTTTAGTGCCTGTTTGGTGATTATCTGCTAGCTTCTCAGGACATACCCAATATTTGTCTTACAACTGTTGACACCAGTTTTTATCCACACCCTTCTCTTATTTCTTCACCTATCTTGAATTCATCTCTCAATCTATGTTTTAAAGTAGGTTGCAATAGGTACTATTAGAATACTGACTCTTCGTTGGTTGCTGAAGAAGGAGACGGAGGATGTCCTGAGTGCAGGAATGTAAAGTATTGATTCACTTATTCGTTCATACTAAACAAAAGTTAGGAGCAGTGCTAATACAGGAGCTAGCATTCTGAATGCATTTTTAGTAGTCACATATTAAAATCATCCTTGAAGAGGGGATTTCTGTACAACATTACCTAGGAGCTCAGGTCTGAAAAAGGTACTTTAAGACATTTTGGAAGGTACAGTTGAGCTGATATAAGCTGAGAACTAACATCTCAGCACTGGATATTCTCATAAAGTTGAGCTTATTTAAGAACCAATATCCCAGCACACTGGATATTCTTAAAAAGTTGACCTGATTTAAGAACCAATATCCCAGCACTGGATATTCTTATAAAGTTGACCTGATTTAAGAACCAATATCCCAGCACTGGATATTCTTATAAAGTTGACCTGATTTAAGAACCAATATCCCAGCACTCTGGATATATTCATAATAATGAGCTCATCTTCTTCTTCTTCTTGTTCACCGGCTGTGAATTCCGGCGGTAAGTCGCGGTTGTTCGTCCAAAATGGACTTTTGGCTTTTACCTTGACCTGAGTTTTGCGTGTACATCCGTTTTACTGGCTTATTTGTTTGCAGTTCTCGCTCCCCGTCTCTCCGGCATATGTACTCCGACTTCGGAGGAATGAGCTCATCTGAGTTAACTCTTTTAATCCCAAGGGACGCATCACACATCAATCGGTTACTACTCAGGTGGCCAATCAGCACGTAACACATTCAAGTTTTTAGTTTATAACTGACCAGTAAAACAATGTGAACCAGCAGTTTTGAATGGTATTTCCTGGTCTTTGTGTCTGATGTCAAAAATTTTGACCATTAGGCTATTCGGAAATGTGGTTAAAGGCATAAAATGCAGCATGTTTGTGAGCGAGCTTTACCGGGTTACCTCTGAGCAGATTTCGCCATAAGTTCTCTAAACATACCATCTGTTTATTTACTAATAACTAACTACTAACACAATTTATTTTTGGAGCAGTGTTCTAATATTATTCCTCATTGATCCCTGGTCCCTTTGTTGTACATTTGTATTTTGTGCCGCAGCTAAATTAGTATGATCTGTTTTAATGTGTAACACTTGTGAAATTTTAAAAATGCATTACCACCCCTCGGCCTCTAATGCTAAACCCCCTGGGATTCAAAGAGTTAAGAACCAACATTACAGCACTCTGGAAATTTCCATAAGCACCTCATCCTCATATTCAGCAGCCTGTGAAGAGTGAACAGTACCAGTAGTTACAATATACTTATGTCTGTACTGCCAATCCTCTAAGTGCAGAGTGTTGGCCAGATCCCTTCCCACTGCACCATTCTCTTCACGCTGTAATGAGCTTACTGTGCTTCCACGCTGTTTACTTGTTACCAAAGGGCCTTGACCACATCTAGCTTCTGGGAAGTAAAGGCGAACAGCGTGATACATAATATACATAAACACATATACAGAGGTAGAAACTGGTCTGCACAGAATGTCTTACCTCGGAATTTTTGTGATTCATGAATGGAACGACAGCACTGATGATAACACTGCGGTAGTTGAAATGCGGATGGTTTACAAGCATTTCACATAAACATTTCAACGCCAGTTTCCCAAACTCCTGTAGACAATAAAATATTTTATTTAATTCTCAACTTCACTTCAGTTCATTTGTAATGTTCACACGCTGGGAAGCAGTTGCCATAGTGTCGCGTGCGAATGTGCACCAGAACGCACCAGTACGGAGTGAGCAAATAAGACGTCAAAACAATACGTAACGTTGTGAAGGTAATGTTGTCAAAGGCAGTCGATGTTTATAGTCCGAAGGAGACGGACGTGTGGATCCTTGAGGACGCTTTACCCCGGGATCCCACGGAAGCAAACGTTATATGAAGTTGGATCCTTGAGGACGTTTTACCCCGGGATTCCAAGATAGACCTCAGCAGGAAGCTGGTGAACATTACATTCTCGGCAGTAAGCCGGTATACTTTCATTGCTTAATTCGGACTTGTCCGAGGACAAAGATAATCGTGGCAGAATGCTGCCTCCATTTCTTCTTCTTGCAAATTATTGTCGGGTGCCTCAGCTGCTTCTAACACTTCAGACAAAACACCAGGGCGAGACTTAAACTCTTTAAGCATGTTTAGATTATATACTTTATGATGTCCTCTGACATCAAAAAGATAGTCGACATCTGAAATTTTCTTAATAACTTTAAAAGGACCCTGCCATTTGGCTAATAAACAATTATTATTATCTTGCAGAAATATCAATACATCATCATTAGGCTGGAGAGTGATCAGTCTCCGGTTACGGTTAACGTATTCTCTTTGATGAGTACCAGTATTTTCCAAGTTGTCCCGTGCAACTTGACAACCTGTGATTATCTTGTTACGTAACTCCGTCACGAATTTAATATATGTTTGAGGCGCTTCTTGATCGCCTTTACCGATCCATATGTCCTTTAACATGACAGTGGACCTCTGGGATTAGCACCATATATAAGTTCGAAAGGTGAGAAACCTGTACTGCTCTGGGGCACCTCACGATAGGCAAACAAAACAGCAGGAAGGTATTTGTCCCAGTCTGCTGGAAATTGATTAGTAACTTTGGCTAGCATAGCTTTTATTTTCCCATTTAAATTTTCTACTAGTCCATTTGATTGTGGGTGATATCTTGCAGAAAAAACGTGAGAGATGGCAAGTAATTTGTCAAAAGAGCGCATTGCTTCTGAAATAATTGTGATCCGTGATCTGATAGGATTGTTTTCAGGAAAGCCTACTCTAGAGAATATAAGCATCAATGCTTCTGCTACTGACTCAGTAGTGATATGACGTAACGGTACTGCTTCAACCCAACGTGATGCCATGTCTACAAATGTTAAAATGTATCTAAATCCTCTTTGTGAAACAACCGGTAGCGGACCCACAAGATCGACAGCAACTTTTACGAAAGGACGACATGGAAGATAGACCCTTTGAATAGGAGGTTTCTGAGATGCATCCTTTCTCGCCATCATTTTGACAGTCTTTACATGACCTACAGTATTTCCTAATATCTGTGGAACAACCAGGCCAATAGAATTGTGCAAGAACTCTTTTCTGTGTTTTACCTATACCTAAATGTGCAGCAAAAGGTGTGTCATGTGCAACTCTCAGAACATCGGTTCTATAACATAAAGGAACGACTAATTGTTTACATTGCATAACAGGTGATTTAAAATATCTCATTAAAATTCCATTCTTCACATAAAAATGCCATGTACCTTGCTTACATGTTCTAACACCGGTTACTTCTGCCCTAGAAAAGCATTTAGTGAGGGTAGGATCCGCCCGTTGTTGTATCGCAAAACTGTTTGTTTTCGGTGCGTGTGGTTCGTTTCCAAGCTCTTTTGGTCGTTCTGGTTCATTCTTTAGTGCTTCTTCGCTAGCTATCCCACATGTGATAGCTATTTGGTTTTCGTTCGAAGTAGCTGACTGTAACGCAGGTGTAGCTTCCTCGTTACTTACTCTCTGTTGAGCGCGTGTAACTGCAGCATTAGCTTCAGTCACACCCTCATTTTCTTTATACCAGCGTTCGATTTCCTCGCGCGAGGGCATCTTTGCTCCTGGAACTGATCCAAGGAGTACTGACGGTCTCTCCAAAACACACACTTCGGCAACACCTTCAAAATACGGGTTATTTAAATAGACTTTTGCTAAAGGAAATCTTTCTAAACGACCACCAAAAGTACGACACTTGCAATACCGACCTAAGTATGCCGATTTGGGGATTAGGTATCTAGCCACTCCTATTACATTGGCGCCCGTATCGCGTAATACCTTAGATTTTATGTTTCCAACATAACCATTATGCAAGGGCAAACCAGCCTCCAGTGGTACAGCGGACAACGCTGGGTAAACAATTTCGGGTTGGATTCGAACCTGACCGTCCGCTAAATTTGTCACTTTTTGTGACATCGCTGCGTTTACTGTTTGCGCGGAATTAGCATGACTGTTCATAACCCTTGGGCAATCAGAACGTTTATGGAAACCACGGCATACATAGCACCTTATAGGACCTGTGTTGCGTTGAAACCTACCTCGTGATGATGGACCATCATCATTATCTTTCCTGTGTCGCTTGTGGGGACAATCGGGACTTTTGTGTCTCCACGAAAAACAGATTGAACAAGCAGATGAACGGGGTTGATAATGTTCACCCTGCTTTTTGGACGTTTGATCTCTATGGGGTGGTTGTCTCTGTTCGCTGTGGCTGCGATAGCGCCCCTGCCTAATATTGGATTTGTTCCACCCGGGCCGATTTGACGAGGCGTTGTGGTGCACCCTAATACTGGATGCAGCTGGGAGTATGTCATCGAACCTGGGGTTGTACAATGGTTTACCAGGATGTGCAGTGACATACTGTTCTCCCAATGTTGTCATCTCCTCAACTGACTTCGGTTTCCTTTCTTGAAAAAAATGAGAACATCTCCGAACTACATGATGACAAAATTTTATCTCGAATAATGAGATCAGCTAACTTATCATAAGAGTTTTTAACATCTGCCAATGTCACCCAACGCGTAAACAACGTTCTAACGCGGGCCACAAAATCAGCGAAACTTCCATCGACGGATGGCACAACAGATTTAAACTGCACACGGTAACCTTCTTCGGTCATGCACTTCGACGCCAGCAGTTTTTGTTTGACTATATCGAACGACGCGCGTTCGTCTTCTGATAAGTTCGTGAACGTGTTCAAAACTGGTCCCGTTAGCAAATCCCTTAAACATGATACCCACTGTTCCCCTGGTATCTTAGCTGTATTCATCGCTAAAGAGAAGCGATCCAAAAAATTATGAAGATCTTCTGTAGGTGTAAGAAATGGTAATTTGGGTATGTAGACACATGCCCCTTGTTCGGAACCCGAACGGCTACTAGTCACAAGACGACGGCTCTCTGATTCTGACACAGCAACAACCTTGTCTCTATCTATACGCGCTAGTTCTAATTCATTCTCCAAACGTAACATTTCCAAATTAGTCTCCATTTCGAAACGCAGTCTCTCCGCCATAGCTTCTTTTTCCCAGCGTAGTTTCTCAGCCTCAGCTTCTTTTTCCATGCGTAATTTCTCAACTCTCCATTTCTTTTTACAGGCGCGTTCCGCTGTTCTCTCATCGCGTAATTGGTTATCTCTGTCCGACAACTCTTTCATTCTGGCTTCGGCGAAAGCTAAGAGTTGTCCATTTTCTAGGCCTATACTTCGACCTAACTCCAAAAACTCAGCAAATGTAGACATATTTAAGTAATATGACAATCAATATACAATATATGATATATATGATAGTGTGTGGTGAAGTGACGCCACAGGACAACGAATACTGCGTACTGTCACACACGTACAATGCGACGAGTCTGACAGACGATAATTAAAAAATGACTCCAGTTTTCCGACCGAGACTACGACAAGTCCTAGTGCTCGGTCATCCTCGGGGAGGGGGGAAAAGCTGTCGCGTGCGAATGTGCACCAGAACGCACCAGTACGGAGTGAGCAAATAAGACGTCAAAACAATACGTAACGTTGTGAAGGTAATGTTGTCAAAGGCAGTCGATGTTTATAGTCCGAAGGAGACGGACGTGTGGATCCTTGAGGACGCTTTACCCCGGGATCCCACGGAAGCAAACGTTATATGAAGTTGGATCCTTGAGGACGTTTTACCCCGGGATTCCAAGATAGACCTCAGCAGGAAGCTGGTGAACATTACATTCTCGGCAGTAAGCCGGTATACTTTCATTGCTTAATTCGGACTTGTCCGAGGACAAAGATAATCGTCTGGATCTCAAGGTCGGACTGCGACCTATCGTGAGGACATATCAATACATGGATGTACGAGCGAGCTTTGGTTGAACGAGTTGATTATAACTTACATATGTATTCTTCTTGTGTTGATCATCGTTATTGTCAATACACAAATGGAACTTTTAAAGAGAGTTTTCGTTCCGCTACGTTGGAAGCTTCAGCATTCATTATGTTGTGTTATTCTTGGCCAGTGGCATGTTAAGTGTTGATGCCAATTGTTACATTGCGACACCCCTAGTCACTTTACACTCGTCACAATCAATGAAGCCTCCGCACGTCACACATAGCAGACTAGCTAGATGCTCGCTGCCTGCTAGAAGGTTTAGGGTTCAAATCAGCATCGAGGTGGGTTTTTGCAAGCCTAGCGTTGGCTCCTAGATCGACCTAGACTAAAATGGGTACCTAGTAACATCCTGGGAAGTAAAGATAACCATTGTAATGCTGAAAACACTTTTTGAGAGCTAATTGGTCTATAATGAAAAAATAAACAGGTCTAGCACTTTATGCCCAAAAGATGGAAAAGAGTTCACTATTTTACCTGCACTCTGAGAAGCCAGGGTAGTACAGTAGCTACAAATAGGCCCACTAGTCATAGGTATAAAATCCCCATGAGGGCGGGTTTCTTTCTAAACTTACTTTGGCTCCCAACTCAATCTAGTCTAAAATGGAGTGCAGAAAAAACATCCTGGGACATTAAGGAAAATGGAATGATCAGCAAAACATAACTGATGAAAGTCTATTTTAATCATATCATGCTTGATCGTTAACAGGAGACTGCTGTCTTCTCTTGACCATCTGTTTTTCAACTTTCACTCAATATTTTATGAGACCTTAATCTTATTAAGCAATATTCTTTTCACGGCTTATTTTGTTAAGAAGACTTATAGCCAGACATAATTCATTTTATTGTATCAAGTGTCCAAGAGACATGTTTTAACTAGCAACACAATCTAAAATGGGAGAATCAGAAAATATTTAGAGGAAAGACTGCAGCCACAAAGATATAAATACACCTTAAAAATGGAGAAGGTGAACTAGATATATCATGTGATACTGACCACATTTGAGCAGCATAAGCGTAGTAGCCAGATGCTTGCCTGCCATTCTAAAGGTCTTGAGTTCAAACCCATGCCAGATTCTCATGTTATCAAGCCTAAAATGGATACCAGGAAATGCCCTGGGATGTTGCTGACCATGATGTTGATATCACCCAGAGAATGCTGTCTGGTCTAAACAAGTGAGAGCGTACACCATGAAAATGAACAAACCAAGACGCAGTGGGAGGCCAAGAAGAACATAAAGAAATCACTGAGGCTTTGCAACACCCCAGGGTACCAAGCTTAACTTAAATCAGATTCCTATTATTCATTCAACTGCAATGCCTTTATCACAAAGCTAATGTTAACAAAGGAACAATCTGTAAAATGTAAAGGAAGTTTTAAAAAATATACATACCACCATGCTTGTACGAGGCAGGTTCAAATCAGTGATTCCATGCTTGGTCAGAAAAGTCTTCTCTAGAACAGGCTTCACTAAAAACAAAAACAAACTGCAATAACATTCAATAAAAAGATGGCAAATTAAGCAACATAAACATACTAGATTATTATTTTTTTAAAAAACACATTGTCAACAGTAAATTACACAAATAATTAGACAACAGAATGGAGGTGGTCTTCATCGGGGTAAACAAATGTTTTGTAACATTACAATTACAAAAATCTACTCAACTCTTCATGCACTAATAAAATGCTCTAGTATGGCAAGATTTACAAGAAAAATTAACTACTATCATTAACATTATGTTTGAACTAGTTATATCACATGCAGATCACTAATGAAGACAGAAAGAATTAAAACCATTCAAATTAAATATGCTTATTTACATGATATCATCATCATTATGTGTAGGCTGATAAGCATAGCATGTCATGTTTCGCCATCCCATACCATCTCCAGAAGCACGGATCAGACTATTATTTTTATCTTATCCTATTGTTGTGTGCAATCCACACTACGGGCAACCGATAATGAACATGAGGTATGACGAGGACACGACGTCACTTGCCGACAGAAATTTTTAGACAGATGACAGTTGCAAAAAATGTGTTAATGGCAGAGGTAAGAAACTGGGCTTAGCTGTATTCTACTTGATGCCGCAGTTGGCGGGGAGCATCTCTTATGTACTGTAGAGTTAAAAGTAGTTCTTCTACTTGATGCCGCAGTTGGCGGGGAGCTTAGGCTCTGTACTCTGGCTTGGAGGTAAAAGTTTATTCTACTGGATCCGCAGTCTGCGGGGAGCTGAGGCTCATTGCTCCGGATTGGAGAAAGTAATTAGCTAACCGTCGTTTGATACAGTGACTGTAATGTACGCATTTCATTGACGCCATTTATATCTGTGAGGAATTGTTCAAATAAATTTCCCATTTTGCCTGTCAACGACGTGTTTGTAGCAGTTTCAACGGTTGACTTTGTACCGGCGTTTTTTTCTGCCCGCCGTTGGTCTTGGTCATTGGTTACCTCTATAAATTAGTTTACTTGGAATTTGTACGGCATGAATCCGGGACTACACCTCACGGCCGAATTTATGAACAGAATATCACCGTACAGTAATGGAGACAAAAAAGAGCCGTACACCTATCAATATTCCCATTCAGGTTTTTATCTCATTATCTTTCTCTTTTACCATCAATTTTACCAGTCATTACCAAGTTCTCGGGTCCACTCCTCACAGCATGGTTAAAAAATACCAGCTGTCAACATCTAATGATTCATTACGCAAGGTAAAAATAAAAACTTATCCACTTTCAAAATTAACTTTAGATTATCATAAATGCTTTAATCCTACCTTTTGCCATGGTTTCCAGAAATTCTAAATAAATTTTATAGTTCAGCAGGAATGATGCCTCGTAGTCCCACAAGCTTTTAGTTTCCTTCTTCACCTGGAAATACATGACCATAAAAACAACATTTACCTCATGAAGTAACTGTCTCCTCTGGAAATACGGCCAGAGCCTGTTGACAATGAAATACCCAAACAAAATATGTGGGAAAATATGATCGTCCCAGGCCTTACACCAGCCAGCCCAAATGTTCTGTGATGAATCACAACCTGGTTGTATTTTCTTGTGAATTCACCCTAGAAATGGCAGTTGACATGCAGTGTTGCGGTTTACAGACAGGCTGTGAGATCTGCACCTTTCAGTCCAACACATCCAATTTCAGCAGTCTTAATAGTCACTTTTTAGGACCTACTGGTTAAGTGGCAGCAGATCTAACCTTTTTTTTTTTCCATCTTAAAATGGGGTCTCGAAACACACACTGGGAGTTTACATCATAACATGCTTTTTAACAGATATAAGGTTCCAGTACTGGTCTTCTAGACCCGCTGTTTTTTAAGCTTGTAGAGAAGGAGTACTCAGTTGCAGTCTCTGTTGTGCTTTGTCCAACATCGGACCAAAATAAAAGAGTGTCAACCCTCACACTGTTATATGGATGCTAAAATACCAGTGAGTGATTATTTTGTTATTTGACATTCTGAATTATGTGTGTGTTCTTCTTCAAGTTCTTGTTAACAGAACCTGGGACTTTTCGTATTATCCCCCTTTAAATCACATTTTATTGTGTGTGTGTGTTTGTTTGGGGGGGGGGGGTGAGGAGGAGTCTTGCTATATACTCAAGGAGGGCGCCACCTGAAAAAGGTGGAGACCGCTGCTCTACACAATCTTCATTCTGACAGACGCAACTTTTTTCCATGGCTCACACAACCTAATATACATGATGTAGCAAATACTGGAAAAGTCATAAGACTGCTGTATAGAAATCCCACTTTCCCTAGTTATCAACATACGTTGATTTGGTCAACCATGTACATTTGTTGACAACTTCCATGCTTGCTTTTTGTGATGAATGTGTCACATCTTAGTACACAAACTCAAGGCTTGATTTATTCAGTTCAATCAAGTGTCGTCTCCTCAATGAAGTTTAGATGCAATGCATCTCAAGTATTGTCTCACAACCTCTGAAACTTCTGTTCATTTACCTCTTAGATATTATCCTCCCAAATGTATTGTTGCCTCACTTTATTTGCCTCTTTCTGACTGTGGAATTTATTAGAGTGTTATGTCTTTTAATATTACCAAAATACTTCATCTGTCTCTCTCTCTCTCTCTCTTGTTTAATTTTTGTTTATTTCTCTCTCTTTAATCCCCAATTTCTTCAGAATCTCTGTATTTGATCGTATTTATTTCCATGAAATATGGCCAACTAGTGTGCATATCTATATATCTAAAGCCTCAATTTGACTTCTTAATTGCTTGGTCATTGTCCAGGTTTCAGGACCATTCGATAATAATAACACTTAACAACTGCTCAAAGAAAAACACAGTAATCATACCCTTTGTGATTTTTCTTTTTCTGTGGGGATTCTCAAGCGATATCCAGGGACAATATCCTTGAACACCTCCATGAGAGAGATCATGGCATACTTTCTCACACTGAGGGAAACCCCAAGGGCAGTCTCTCCCAGCATCAGGCGCAGCTCCTTTAGCTTTTTCATCTGAAAAGTGCTGATTAAATTACGTCATCTAAAAACAGACTGAATTACAGCACATACAACAGACTGAATTACAGCACCTACAACAGACTGAATTACATCATCTAAAACAGTTAATAAATCACACCTCTAACAAGTTACATTTCACCTCAACAAATAGATTAAAATACATCACCTGCACCTACAAAGAGAAAAAATTAGGCTACCCACAAACAAAATAAAAATAAATAAGGTACTGTGTAAATCCGATCTACTTAACAACGGATACTGGTATAAAATCAAACAAAAAGGACGAAGAGACCACAGTGACCCTGAGGTTAAACAACATTAAACGCCTATGTCACAATCATCATCATCATGTTCTGCCATTGCATGTCACATAGGGCTGGAGCTCTAATCCTTCATACCATCTTACCCTGTGCAATCATTTTAATATCATGGATGGAATCCAGTATCTCTCTCATCAGCATTTGTTTTAGAGTTTTTCTTGGATGTTCTTGTTTCTCATTTCATGCTGCCTTCTCAGGATGTGTCAAATATAGCACCATATTTGTTGTTGTTTTATAACCAGTGATAACGTGGTATATCATACAGAGAACATGACAAGGTTTGCCGTATAACTGCCCAGGCCAGCACACTGGCAACTGCGAACCTCATTTAACGACAGGGTAAAAACAGAAAATGCAATGGTACGGACATGTAATAAGATCCAACCGTTTCTCTGTATGGCAAATACAGCTTTCAATCTGTATGTAGTATATCCTCTTAACCCTATTTTACTTCAATGAAAGCTTAACAATAACTGTGAATTTATTTCTCTCTTCTGTTACTACATAAAGATGTTAGTCATGGGTCAGTTTGCAATCATGAGAGAAAAAAGTCTGGGCTATTGAACTTACAGAAAAATTCTCAGAACACCATGGAACCAGAAGAAAAATACTGATTTCTATAAGGCAAACATTAATGAAACCTTGCTCATAAACAGCATTAGGTCTCAGAACCTGGAACTTTTTTTAATGCTTCAGCAGTGTAGAAACAAAGTAATGGTAGGCATAGTTACAGGAAGGGTAAAGGTTAACCCTTTTGCCCATATGAATGCTAACAAAATGGGTCATGAAGTTGTGGGAATTCAACAACCTAAAAAAAAATACTTATAAATACATCTTTTTAAATTTATTTATCTGCGTTAAAAAAACTGAAATGTATAAAATGGGTAATCAATAGAATAAAACTGAGTGAAGTACTAAATGGATTACATTCCCTGGGACAACAACAACAAAAATACATGTATTAGGTGACCTCTATTATTGAGGCTTAAGGGAAAATGTGACATCAATGCAGCTTTCAAAATAAACCAATGGAGGTTATAAGGAAACTCTATCAAATGCTATTTTAAGTTGAAATATTTATATCCAGGCCTATTAAACACTGCAGGCACATACATACAGAACCAACATAATGTAACTAAGCTTTTTGAGAACAGGTCACTGTAGACATGCTGATACATCGGCATACATGGAAATAACTAGTAAGCAGATGTAAGTAAAAGTAAAGTAAAGATCCATTTACATGCCCTTAGGCGCATCGGGCATATGGGAAGAGCACCAATATTTTTACAGACCAATCGGCACTCGGTGGGTAATGTGGTCAGCATTATGCCGGCCGTCTTTACTTTCCCAGGACAGCCCATCCTGGTACCCATTTGAGGCTGGGCCGGCCTGCGACGTCCCATACCAGGATAAAAATTCACGCAGCCCATGCAGGTTTCGATCGCGGTATGTTGGATTACGAGTCAGACTCGCAACGCCTTAGCCACGGACGCCGCAGTAAGCAGATGTAACTAGATTTAATCTTCTAAAGGTGAGAAGATCATCTTCACTGCCCTGGGTTTTTCCCTATAGCTCAATCTCTCACCGCAAAATGGCTAGCCACCTGCAGAGAGAGTCAAACAAAGCAAAAACACTATGTCTACCAGCAATCCCCAGTGATCTTCATGAACCGAATAAGGTCCGTAAAACAGACCCTAACCTTCACAGCGTAAAAGAATATGGCTTTATTTCATCACAGAGACCTCTTAAGTTCCTGGAAGAAGAGGCATGACTAAGGTGAACAAAGAGTTACTGGAGACACCTTGGGTACTTGGACAGGGATCAAGAAGTTTCAGGAGCCACTGTAGTGTAGAGGCTAGATGTTCACCTGTAGATCGTAGGTAATGGTCCTGACAGGGCCAGACATTTTTTTTTAGATTGATCCAGCCTTAAATGGGTAGCAGGTTAAGTCCTAGGAAGTAAAGGCTGCTGGTGTGATGTTGACCATCATCACTCACCATGTGTCGATTGGTCTATAAAATACAGGTTGAGCCCTATATGCCAAAAAGCCCTGAAGGCATGGAAAGGTGTTCTTTACTTTACAAAAGGCTTTTGATGGGCCACAATAAGAACAACATTCTACACAGGACCTGCTACATAGTGGTGAACCAAAAATATATAAAATAATTTAAAAGTTAAGGGGAAGAAAAATTACACTGTTCTGTGGGTCCTCAAGCACTGCATGAGACAAGGTAGCGATCTTCTGCTTCTTCTCTAAGAGCTTGTTTTCACGATAGGCAAACACTTCAACAGCACTCAATGTAGCCAAGTAGGCCTTCTCTTTTTCAATATCTACCACATCCCCATGTGGAGTCCATTCACTAGCGCTCATTTTATTTTCCTCTTCTGGCTTTTCTTCAGCAGAGACCTCTGCATTAACTTGAGCTATTTAGAAAAGAGAAAAAAAACAAGAATCACGTAAATGTACATAAATAAACAGAGGGGGGACCCTTGACGCCGTTAAATATGATATAATAATGAAGTAACAGAAAATGTATTGATCGGCACTCATAGAAAGAAGTAGAAAGATGGAAGAACAAACTATACAACACAAAAATCGAAAGCTATAGTTACCATGCCAGGAACTGAACCTGTCACCTCCAGACGGCATGTACGCCTCGCTATGGAAACAAGTGAACTAAGTACATGGTTAACTAGGCACCTCCACTGAGTGCCGATCAATACCTTTTCTGTTATTTTATTAATTTATAATGAGAAGCAGAGTCACTAACATAAATAACTTAACATGAATACAGTGAACTGTTATGGATGCTGACAAGTGTGATAACAAGGAACAGACTACCAGTAAGAAAGTACTGTGGTGTCTCTGTATAGTTCACTCTGCTATATGTTCAAATTGGTATACATCTTGTTTAAACACAAAAACTTTTGCTTGGTATACATTTGTTTGGAATATGACCAACGTGCTAGAACTTGCTTGAGTTAAAATTAGTCATGACACGGTGTGCCATCTTTGTTTACCTCCCTCGAGACGAAGTCATGGATACATGTCAATGACTGTGCAGAGAAACACCACCCCCAACAAAGCCTAAACAAGCTGTAACGGCAATGTCTGGAATTTCCAAACAAGGTCACATTTCTGAAACACCATGACAGAAGGAAGAAGTCAAATCTGATGAACCTTAACTGGGTCCAAGTAATAAAAAAAAGACAGAAAACAAAAAGAGAGAACACAAAAAAAATTGCAGATTCCTGAAGTTTTATTAGAAGGGAACTCTCCTTCCAAACAATAACATCCCCCCCCCCCCTTCTCAGTACTACTGTAGTAGGCACTTGACTCATCTCAGGAAAGTAAAGTGAGGTTCAATTTTCATTTATTTCATCCAATTGCTTTTGAATTTATGTATTTTAGTATAAGACAGTATACAAATTATTTTACACAACTCCCATCAATGTATAATATGCCAATAACAAAACTATTTTTCTTCATTAGAACAGATTAATCCTTCACCCTTTATTTCTTACAGGAGATTTCATTTGCTATATGCCAATAACAAAACTATTTTCCTTCATTGGAACAGATTAATCCTTCACCCTTTATTTCTTACAGAAGATTTCATTTGCTATATGCCAATAACAAAACTATTTTCCTTCATTGGAACAGATTAATCCTTCACCCTTTATTTCTTACCGAAAATTTCATTTGCTATATGTCCAAGGATCAGAAACAAATCAAGAGTGTTTAATTCTTTGCTAGCTGTTAAATGGCTTAACAAACAAATGTTAAGCTAACAGTGTATTATTCCCTTTGTCATCTCACCTGTTAAATGTCTTAAAAACTAAACAAACATTCAGCTAGGTTGTATTTGTTACCTTCTTCTTTATCATCTGTAGCCTCTGCCTCAACCATCTTTTTGATGACTTTCCCTTTGGCTATGATTGGAAGCATCATCTTCATTTGCTGTGACTTCTGGTCAGTTTGAAACTGTCTTGGTAACTGCTCATACGATTCTTCTTCATCTTCATCTGTTCTTTTTCTTTTCTTACTTCGTGGTTTACCACTTTAAACAGATGAAACAGAATAAATTATGTTTGATGACTAAATATTCAGATGTTCAGACCCACTGTTTTAGTAACCGAATTTAACTTCAAAACAATTGTTTACACATGCATAAGGGATACAGAGGTAATGAGCCACAGATAGTCATCCAGAAAGACCAGTGCTCATACTAGTCAAGACTAAGAGGCACCTTCCTGTAGTCATTCTATGTTTTGAGGAGAAATCATCCTGAAACATTACGGTACACGTAGGAAAAGACCAAAGGGAATAAAAGACAGATCAATACCTGGGTGACTTGGCCCCATGGCGTAATCAGTACATGACAAGAAATGTGAAAACACAACTACCCAGAGTAAAAACCACAACTACTTACAGTAACTAGCATGAGATAATGACTGTAATGAAATAAAAAGTACACATATGTTGACGCAGCAATTCCTGGGTGAATGTTGCTCTCATCAAGGCAGAAATCCATTCATTTCAGTACAAATTGTCCATCCCTTGTAACTTTCATTTCCAGGGTATCCTTGATATTCTGTGTCCACACTACAACAAGCTTGTCCATCCAGCCTCTTCTTTCAAGAACCATATCTTTTACTTATGTTTTCACCAAATCATTATGACCATTAATATAGCCAAAGTCTTTTGGTTTCCAAGAAACAATACTGCATATGAGCAAGTTCCCATTGCTATTCATTTGCGGAAGAATTCAGTATTTTTCCTTTTCTCAGTCAATGATATACAAGAATCTAACAGTTAATTAGCCTACACTAACTGCCTTTTAATGCGGTGTAGCAGCTAAACACCCAATGTGGGTCCAAAGTCCTGGGTTGAAATCTGTATCAAGCCAGTTTTTTCTTCAAAAATGACCTTGGCTTCCAGGTCAACAAAACTTTAAACCTTAGCATTAACTGCATGTTTACTTTGCATGTACAAGCCAAAGCTTCAAGACTTTGCTGAGATTAGCATGTTTTTCACAAGCTTTCATATAGGATAGTGAAGGACATTTTGTGTCATTTCCACTGGCACAGGAATAAAGCTGTTTTGAGATGATCTGACTGCAGTGATGTAGGAAGCTTTAGTAACTTAACTAACTGCCTTAAATTCATGTTCTGATACTTACTCATTATTCAAATCAGCTCTCAGAAAGCTATGTGCATTGTTCAGCTTTTTAAAATATTGAACATCATGATCAGAGAGGTTGGCATCATCCTCCTCCTCATCGTTTACTGGATAATTACTGATATCCTCTAGCTGTTTCTGCTGCTGTAGCTGAAGCACCTGTTTCTTATTTGCACTCTCTTGCAAAAGTCTTCTCTTCTTTTTCTTTTTATCCACTTTGTGAAGCTTGCCTTGCTTAGCCAAGCGATTTGTCCTTTTGTTGGCTAGTTTAGCTAAGCTTGCCTTATGAGCGCCGGACTTTGTCTTGGGTTTCTTTACCTTCATCTGTATCAAAATTAGAAACACATAAGTTAAACAACAGCCGTTTAAAAAACAGTGGAAATTGTACACAACTACTAGTTACCAGTTAATACATCATATATACTTTTTGCTTCAAACAATATAACAGGCAGCCACTTATGTGTAGTGGCTAAGCACTCACCTGCAGATCTGAGGTCCATGGGTTCAAATCCAAATAAAGCTCTTATTTTTTTTTATTTTTTGAAAATGACATTGGCTCCTAGGTAGACCCAACCTTAAATGGGTAGGTGGTTAAGTCCTGGGAAGTAAAGATGGCTGGTATAATGCTGAACACATTGCCAAGCAACTGCTGACTGGTATATAAAATACAAGTTACCCATTGTGCCCACATGTGTCCTAAACTTTATTTACAACATATATCGAGACTTAAAGTAAACTACAGGCAGCTTAAGAGCAGACGATATTACAATGATTTCAACATTGGTATGAGAGCCAAACCATTCAGAAAGCAATGGCAAACTACTGAATATAAATTCTCCTAGTAAAATAAAAGCAGTCAATGGATGTTAGGGTTGGTTTGCGATGTACCGCAAAAGGGCACTAAAGTATCTAATAATCATTTTTATATATATATATATACACATAAAGTGCCACAGTTGATTAAAAAGAATAGCAGAAGAAAGAAGACATGATAGCAGGAAAGATGGTCAGGGGCCGACCAGCACAGAGATGGGTAGAGGATATAAGTGATACTTTGGATAGGAAAGTAGGCTATCCTCCGAATAACAGTGTCAAATTATTGAGGCCAAAAATATACCCTAACAGGGGCCTCAGTTACATGTAAATTGCGAACTTCAGGCAACTACCGCCACCGTCGAGAGTATCTCCTGCGCCGCTACGCGCGGCTAAACTAGATGGCTGGGACTCATGAGCAAATAAAATGAAGGAAGCTGCAGGAGATGCGGTAGCTCTGCTCGTGAGTCCCAGCCATCTAGTTTAGCCCCGCTCCACGCCGCACGCAGTGGCGCAGGAGATACTCTCAAAAGTGGCGGTAGTCACCGGAAGTCCGCAATTTACTTGTGACTGAGGCCCTGTTAGGGTATATTTTTGGCCTCAATAATTTGGACCATTATTCGGAGGATAGCAGGAAAGTACATGAGGCGGCAGAGCTGGTGTGAGACCATGTTTCTTTCAGGCAGACAGTGATGAAAGTTTCACTCTTCAAAAGACTTAGTACATGATGATGATATGTCTCAAGGTGTGGAAAATAGCCTTTACTTTGTGTAGGGTGTGTAACTTAAAACACATCAAATACTCAAATCGTCTGCAACTGACTTCAAATCCTGGTTTGTCATAACTAGAAAGCAGAGATGACAGTACAAAACAAAGCCTATTTCAAAGTGTCCTTAAAAACAAATCTACAGAGCAAATATAAGAGGCCATAAATTGCAAATGCAACTTTTGGATACAGTTTAAATTCTGAACTGAATCAGTCAGAGAAAAGATGTCTCTCTAAACTTACAAATTATCAGTCAAGTTTATATTTTAATATTTCAAATTTGTCATCTATTTGACTGACACTCTACTTCTACTGATATCTCTTATCTCTCTCTCCAAATAATTCAACATGAAGAGGAATCTATTGAAACAATAACATTTTAACTGTTATATACATAATTCATTTAATTATTATTTTGTAAATAAAATAATTAAAATACTAAAAAATACAAGTCAAAGTTAATGACTATATTTAAAATGAAAATACGGCTGCAGACTGCATGGGCGTCGACATGGCGGAGCGGCTAGACGCTCCCTGCGGATCAGAAAGACCTTGGCTCCTAGGTCGACCCAGCCTTGAATGGGTACCTGGTGCAGTACAGGGAAGTAGAAGCTGACCACATCACCTATCTTGTGCCGTGGCGTAGAGGCTAAACGCTCGTGTGCTGATTGAAAGGTCGTGGGTTCGCCCCATGGCAAAGCCATACTTTTTTCGGGATGCCGGGTTCGATCCCAGCTGCAGGCCATGCGCCTCGCGTTGGTTTCGACAGTGGTATCAAGAAAGTTGACTGTCCAGAAAGCAATGGCAGGGAGTCGCCGGGGCAGAGCACCTAGACGCACCGCTGATCGAAAGGTCGTGGGTTCGCTGCCTGACGGAGCCGGACTTTTCTTCAAAAATAACCTTGGCTCCTAGGCTGACCCAGCCTTGCTTGAGTGGGTACCGGGTGCAGTCCCTGGAAGTAGAGGCGGCCGGCGTGATGCTGACCACATCACCCATCTTGTGCCATTGGTCTATATAAGTCTAGCCCTATATGCCTAAAGAAGGTGTGGAACAGGGTCCTTTACTATGAGTGAGCAGACAGTGTAGTGAACAGTGACAGACACGCTGAACTTACCTTTGGGAAAGTAGTCTTTTTTTTTATATCTTGTAAAAGTGTTACCAAAAATGTCTTGTTTTGTCTTTATTATACTTTAATTGCTACTGTACTGTACTATCAACCAAGGCGCAAACTTCTACGATGCACAATTTATCGCGACTACTGTATTGACATTGTATAATTGTTTTAATGGGGGAAAACAAAATAAAAAAGCTTAAGTAAATTGTAATTAAATTGAACTGAGAAGATAAATTAGAAACCTACAACAATTAAAGTTAGAAAAACGGTATGACTAAAACGTAAGTTAAACACACACAAGCTATATGCTTGCAATGAACTGAATACTTCAAGAAATAATCAAATATAACAAACGTAGGTGCACCCAAACGTAAATACGTAAATACGGCACTTGCTGAGTTGTAGTGTTGTGGCTACCTCTACAAACTACAAACGGCAACGGCTATGCTACGGAACTAACTGCAACGAAAATGTATATATTTTTAACTAAACAGGTGAATGACAGAACTAGAGAATTAAATAAGTCGAGTGTAATATCCAAAACAGACTCTTAACAACTATCGAAATTCACAAGCCAGTACAACTGCGGTTTGTTTTTCCTATACTGCAGACTACCAGCATGTCAACTCGAGCAAGCCGCCATTTTTGCTAAGGGACATCATTCTTCTTTTCTTCTGGTCTTCTGCAGCAGACATCGGCGATCACGATTCATCATTTCTCTGGGTAATTTGAATTTATAAAATTATGATATAATGCATCATAGGTACGCGCTGCTACTTTTTTAAGTTTAAACGTTGTAGCATTGGTCCTCATGTGTATACACAGTACTCTTATCATGTGTTTGGTGTACTGACAGTGTATCAAACAATAACGTGTTTAAACTCCACCCTAGCGACTACGGAGACGCCCCCGGCACGTGACCTCCGAATAATGATGACGTCACATATCTAGCAAAAATGTGCTTACAGAAAACTTCGGCGGGATTCGGGGTGCCCTATATTCGTTCGAAAAGCACGCTAAATCACGGGGTTTCCCTAGCTATAAATAGCTCGAGCGTCAGACTCATCAAAAAGAAAAAAATCCCACTCGCCCGCAACACAGCTCTCGCTCGCTCAAACCGCCCGATCAGCCACGTGTGTCTCTCGTTCGCTCGCTAACTATCCATTCGCAGCCTGATTATCGATAGCTAGATACTGGTCAACACTCGCTTGATTTTCGGCTGAGTTTAGCTCGACTACGCTATCGGTGTCGTCTGCGTTTGGGTTATTAGCAGCCCGGGAGCACATTTTTGTTGAAGAGCCAGTCATACCAGCTTTTGTGAAACGATTGTCTCGTGAACTGCAGAGAAAAGCACGCTCGGTGTACTTTTCAGTTCACTTAACGAGCCTTGCCACGCTCTGCAGGAATCGAGCTTTCAGTATAGACCGCAATTATCTAGAATTGATTTTCCCATCATGGGAAAAAAACAGCAAGCAGCCGCACCTACACCAAGGAAGAGGATGGCCATACCAGCAGCATCACCGGCAGGCGCCCCTATCGCGGCGCCTCGCTCACCGAAGCCAGCAACTGAAGCCGCCCCTATCGTGGCGCCAGCACCAGAAGCCTCCCCTGTCGTGGAGCCACCACCTAAAGCCGCCCCAGTCGAGGCGCAGAGACATACCAGCACCCGCATTCGAAGACAGCAGCCTGGAGCCCACAGCAGTGACATTAGCCAGCGCTCACGCTGCAACAGGGCGTGTCACACCGCCGCGACCTGCCGCAGCAGCCCATCATGCCGATACTGCCCAAGAAGCCACGACTTCAAGGAGTGCCCGCTAGCCAAACTCGATAGCGACTTCAGGAAGCCTAACAAAAACCGGAAATGCAGCAACTGCTCGGGTGCACACAGCGCGAGGTACATGGGTTGCCCATATCTTAAAAAGTACAGGAGAGAAATTGCAGCCGCCGTCGCCAGAGACACATACCAGGCGCCCAGACAACAAGAGGCAAGACAGCCGAGAAACATACCAAGAGACAGGCAAAATGACAAGGCACGCCCCGCCACAATGCAAAACGAAATACTGCAAATAATCGATGAGCTGAGAAGCCAAATCACAGCACTCCAGAAAGAAAGAACCACCGCGGCCACTGAAAGAACGGAGACCCTGGAACTGATTTCTCTACTGCTAGGGGAGATCAAGGACCTAAAGGCAGACAGGCTGGCACACGCTACCCAACAAGCAAATAGACAGCCAGAAGACGCAGAACCCCTACAAAAGACCAGGGAGCTACTAACCAGCATCAGAGCAACCCATGCAGAAGAAGAATTACGCCGCCAGTCAGAAAGAGAAGAGAGAAGGAAGGAGCTGGCCGAGTTAAAAACCGCACGGGAAGCCGTGAGCCGCGAAGCCGCCCAGTTAGAGAAAGCCACCGCAGAAGCCGTAACAGCAGCACAAGCAGCTAAGACAGAAAGAACCCTGCTGGAGACAGAAAGAAATGCTACAAAAAAGCCAAATACCAACAAGGCTGACAAAGGCGTCTCCACTGACAACGCAACAATGAAGCATCAGGCACAAATGACTGAACCAGAAGACGATGAAAACAATGAAGAAGACTCAGAAGAGATCCCAGTCATCACAGACACAGAGCAGTCAGATGGAGAGATCATATTCGACGAAGAATATACACAAGCAGAGCAGGAGTTTCCGACTGCTAGCAGTGCACCGCCCAATGAACCCGCTCCGTACGTCTTCGACAAGGAACAGTTCATAAGAGACCAGGAAGAACACTATGCACTAGAGAACTGCCAAGTATGGAACGCAGAACAGCAAAAATAGGGCCCACTGCAAACAACTCCCACCCAGAGAAACAACCGAGGTAGGCGACGACGACGCTACTAACGTAGCAGAAGCCAAAAACCCGAGCCGCCATCTTCCAGGAAAAACCAGCCCGCCAAACGACTGACGCCAGTACGCCACCAGAACCTGACTGCAGAAGCCAGACCCCAACCATCCCGTTCCAGGCAACCCAGGCACATATGGCTGTCCTTTTTAGGACTGCCATGTCCTCTCCCAAAATCTGCAAGCCGCCCGCCAAACCCACGCTGCTGACATGAGGAGGCAACAACAAAAAGGAAACTCAGGCGAAACATATCGCCACAAAAGAAAGAATTTTAAGCTCAGACAGCAAATAACCCGTCCTTGAGAAAACAGGCCATCAGGCGGTTAAAAAAGGACCAAGCTTATCTTTTTTGTTTCTTTTCAAACGAACTCAGTATTCAAAGCAATGTTTCCCCGATGTAAATTTGAACAAAGAAGACACAAACAATAGACTGCACAATTTATTGCCTAGCATGTTTCGCTGTATCTCATCAGGTTGCATACTACAGTAACAAATAATAACAATGAAGCAAATGAGCTGAATCCTAGAAACTGAAAAACACAAATTCGAGTAGATGTTCAAACTGTTTCCCAAGGTAAACGTATGGCAACGACCATTTCCTTTTGCCCTACAAAGTTCCGGTTTCAATCTGCCTAATCGCATGAAGCTTCCGCGTCGTCATCTCGAAGTAATCTACGG